AGTGTTACTAATGCAAATTATATCATCTTGAAAAGCAAATACCTTATTATCGAATTCTGGGCCAAATAATTTATCCATTAAGCGTTGCATGGTTGCTGACGCCCCTACTAACCCAAAACACATCACATTAAATTGAAATAAGCCTCTACGAGGAACTGTGAAAGCTGTCTTTTCAGCAGATGCTGCAGAGTCATAAGGAATCTGCCAATATGCGGCACTAAGGTCAATTGAGGTTAAATATTTAGCGTTGTTAAGATGATCTAATATTTGGTTAATATAAGGCAAGGGATAAGCGTCTGGTTTTGTGACGTAATTAAGTTTTCGAGAGTCTAGGCATAATCTGGTTTCACCATTGGGTTTTTCTACCATTACTACTGGAGAATTCCAAGCCGATTGGGAAGGAGAAACTACCCCCAGGGCTAACATTTTATCTAATTCCTTCTCGAGTGCTAGTTGCTTGATAGGTGATAAGGGATAATAACGCTGTTTAATCGGACTATGGTTACCAGTATCTATTTTATGGTGTTCCAATGAAGTTCTACCAAGACCAACCTTTTCTGTGTTAATTAAGTCAAATTTATCAATTATTTTATTAATTATTCGCTTTTGCGCCGTCGTTAAGTTATTGTAATCTTCTAACCCGTTTTTTAATGATATTGAGTTAATAGGATTTTCTGAGTTTAAAGTGATATTACTAAAGTTGGATGACATCAAGTTTTTTGTCAAACCAAAATGGTGCCAAAAATCAATACCTAATATGATTGGTGTAGTAATTTCCGGAACAACATAAAATGTAATTACCTTAAGTATTGAGTTATATTCAATGGGCAGAGACATGTACCCTACGCAATGCAATTCAGTGCTATTAGCGGTTTTTACAATACGCTCTTTATCTAAAGTGTTAAGTTTAAAGCCTAAATTCAGAAAGATGAGGTGCGAGTTTTTGCCGAGTATCGAGCATGACGCACCAGAGTCAGCAAGTCCTAACGCATCTACATTTAATATTTTAAATTGCAAATAAGGTCTATTGTCAAACTTTTTCTTATGGAAGAGAACTTCACGGTTATTTAAGTTAATGTGTGACCTTTTTTTACCGTAATTATATGTGAAGTTCCCACTTTTTAGTTTTTTGAATTGTTACTTGGATTACATTGTGGGCACTCAGGTCGTCTTACGCCCTTTTTACCACACTTAAAACAAAGAATTTCTCTCGAATTTACACACTCTCTAGTGAAATGCTCTCGACTCTGACATCTCATACACCTCCTATCATTTGAGACATTTTGAGGTAAAGTTACGGTTGAGATCTGACGGGATGGTTTGAAATTATTTTTTATTCTTCGTGACTGAAGGTCATTTGAAATAAATAATTTATTCAAATTGGGTTCCGTAAATTTCTCTGCACGGACTTGAGCCAATTCCAAGCGCTTTCCTAATTGTTTTAACGTAAGAATAGAATCAACGTTATGAAGAGCCAACTCTTTCATATATTCCGGACGAATATTATGCATTAAAATTTCTAGCTGTTCTTCTAATGACATGGGAATAGACAATCTCGCAAACATTCCTTGCATCGTGGAGATATAGCTCACAATTGACTCTTGTCTAGCTTGTGTGCGTTGTCTAATTTCGTTTTTAAGTCGATAATCTAAATCCGGAATATCAAAATCCTCTCTTAAGTGTAACAATAGATCAGAATATGAGTTAAAGTTCGCTTTGTTACTTCTAAACCACGCCAATGCAGAATCTTCTAAGAGATCGGAAAATGCTGTCAGCATACGAGATTGCGGAATCTCGCGGGCCTGTCTAAGTTCCTCTAACCTCTCAATAAAACTTCTAACGCAACCTGAACCATTATATTTTAAATTAAGTGAATTTAAGTTAATTGGTTTTTCTTTAATGACGATTAATTCCTCACTTCCATTCTTTTCATTCATCCTTGTTTTCGAGATAGGCAACACATATTCATCCGTCTCTTGTTCCCTCACATCCTTCATGCCGGTTTTACTACACTTGGGAGTACCTTCCTTATCACTTAATTCGTCTGAACTACTTTCATCTTCCTGTTCTACTTGAGCTAAGATACGTATGAGCCTGTGGCGCAAATCCACTAGAGAAGCATTGTCAACCTCCAATCGAGCAAGTCTATCGATTAGATAATTAGCCCTAACTGACACACGTAAGTGAAGATTACTGTCCTTTCCGAGGTCACCTGATGACAGCAGATCCTCGAGCTCAGCAATTTTCGGCGTACATGCCTTGAGCTCGCTTGCCGGGAGTGGTGTGATCACTGGAGCACACTTGATGCTGCCACGTCTCTTCAGCTTAAAAATTTGGCGAAGCTGCTTTCTCAGTGCATCCACCGATGTGTCAGGAGCTGTGGAAATGCCAAGAATATCCAATTCATATATGATTTCATCCTTTCTTAAGTAGTTTACATATTTTTGTATAGAGAGCATTTTCTCAGATTTTTTTTTAAGTTAAAGTCAGTTATTTCTGTTACTAAGTTAATTATTAAGTTAATTATTAAATTACGTTTAATCAAGTTTTTAAATCAAGCTACTTATTCAAGTTATTTAATCTAAGAAAGTTAAATACAAAGGAATTTATAATTTTTTTTTTTTTTGAAGGAGGGTACTTTTATTATTACAAGTTTCAATTCTTAAAGACTATCTTGTTCACTGTTCAAGGTCAATTTTTTACACATCCAATCAATACGAAAGTGTTATTCTAGTATAAGTTGATTAATTCTAATGTGCTAAGTTAATTAATGCTAGTGTGTTTTTCAGACTGGTTGGGGATTTAAGCATCTATGTTTCCACCAACCTTTTTTATCATCATTTAGACACACTAGTATTCCAAAAGTATTGTTTATTAAAGTTTTTTAAGTTATTAAGTAATTTACTTCTAATGTGCTATTCAGACTGATTGGGGATTTTAAGCATTAAATTTTTCCACCAATCTTTTTATCATCATATTAACACATTAGTATTTCCCTCAAATACAGTATTTTATTGCTCGGCCCTAAAGTTGGTCGCCATTTTGTAACAATTTTTGTTATCACCGGCTATTTCAGGGCTTACATGAGACTCGAAACTTATTTAATTTATAATCAGGGCGCCGTACTACTGTGATTTGAGGGAGATAAATGAAAATGTCTAAAACCGCAGTGAACAAGATATTATATTGTAAAAAAAATTCAGATCTTATTTCATCATGGTTAAAACTTAATACTAGTCACATTCAAGTTAATAAATACATAGTTATATTTCCTCAAAGATTTTTCTTTTGATTTAAAGATATTCATACATTCAAGATCATGTGCTAATACAGTAATACTCAATTTAAGTTTCTTATATAAACAAATTATTAAACAAGTTATAAAATATTAAGTTTTGAAAATTTGACAATAAAAATTTGTTATGTTCTTATAATGGCTTTACAGTTTACCAATAGAAAATCCTTTATCACGTTAAACAGAAATGGTTCTCCGGAGTATGCACTGGTTAAATATCAAGAAGTTATAAGTTTTACTTAGCTTGGCAAGATCATGGGAGCATCAGGATGACTCAAGTGTCCTCTGGGATGAAGCAGGACTTGCTGTCATCACGTGAACCCGTCACTTTTTGCTCAAGAAAGCTTCACAGGCTCATATATATATATTTCCAAGGAGATTCCAATCAGGATCAAGTAATTGTGATTATTACTGTTATTAATTAGCTAAATTAATGGACCTAGAACCAATTACACATATTTCTATAATTCAATAAAAAAACTAACTGGACCTACAGCCTAACGAATCAAATGTATTGAACTTACCCGTTAATCCGGGGAGAAATATCAAGTATATAGTGCACTGACTACCACTGCTAGTCTTAATGCTATTTTCTAAGTATGGTCTTCAAGGTTCTATCAGCCAAAAGAGAGCGAATTTGGTTGTGCACTGCTATTTATAGGCTACTACAACACGTGACAGCGTCATTGCAAATTTCTCTCATATCACCATATTTGGTGTGAGGAATCAAACGGACCGGTTTTGCTGACTCCGCCTCTCAATGTTTCCAGAACATTAATGTGACGTCACATCCAATTTTGCATCTCATTAAAAAATTTACACACTAGCTCCCTCTAACTTACATTCCAAATGCAACTACTAGGTTCACACATATATTGTATTTGTCCGTTGCTTTTCAAAGTGGACTTCGATATTGAATAATTTATATGCATGATGATAGATGGCGCTGAATAAATAATAATATTTCTACGACTTAATATTTAAGAATTATATTGCTATGTTTTAACGTTATTAAATTTAATTGCTACATGGTAACCATGTAATAATTAATTATTATTGTATAATTTATGTTATCCAAGTACTCAAATTAATATTATAAAAAGGAAAGACTTGATTTGTGTATATTTGTAATAAATAAACTCAAAAATTACTCAATTTCCCTCACCAATAGAAAACTACCATTATCGGAGTGACTGACATAGGCTACTTAAAGTTTATCACGTTAAGAATAATTTCCCCTGTGCAAAGCAGGGTTAATTTTATATGGTTTTAAACTTTCATGGTCACTAACATTATAGCTATTAACGGGATTGCTACCATGTACCTTGTTTTTTATGAGTCTCCGATATTTCGGCACTGTTGCAAGCGCCATACATGGTAACAATACCGGTAATAGCTATAGGGTTAATTTTATAGGTATTTATCAATAGTTTCCTATAATCTGAAGAGATGGTGCAGTTTTAAATCACGAGAACCTTATAATAGCGAACATTCAACATGTCGTTGTTTTCTAGTCTCGTGTCTTTTCTCATAGATATTGGTGTCATTTCTGGCATGATTCTGTAAATATAAAACTAAATTTAACATCAATAAATTAACCTTTTCATTCTGTATAGAGAATTACAAGGATATACTGTTGTCAAATTTATGTTTAGGGTTAGAGATCCCTACCAGAATCGACACCATTGTTTATTCATTCTTACAGGTACACGGAGCTCGTGAAACTTCTGCTTGAGAGTGGCGCGGCGGTAGACTACAGACCCGACACTGGGGAAGAATTCCCGAGGACTACACTCTGCGATGAACCGCTAAGACTCGCCATAAGGAACAAACACTATGTCAGTATTATCATAAAAGAATATACTGACGAATCGAGAAACACCATCCTCCTCTTTGAAGTAGGTTAAAGCCAATCTCAAAAATAATACCCAAAACTACCCGTACTTTTCACGTAGTTTATTTATGTCACTAGTCGCCAATAATTTTGAATACTGAGATTTTAATATAGGGTAGCGCGTTAAACCTGCGATTGTGGAAGAACAGCAACTTTCACTTTAATGGTCGGTCATTGGATGACCAGAAACTTACTATCTCGAGCTCTTCCGTGTTTCAGAGGCACGTTAAGTAATAATAATAATTTATTTCCAAATTTCACAACAATTTTACAGATTTCTAGCCCCCACACTAGGCTTAGCCTGTCCTGTGGGTTAGTTGTTAGTTAAAACAAATAATTTATTCGAACGATCCCGACTAGTCAGAAATTAATAAAAGCTCAATCTTGCGACCATCGCGATCCTTTACAGCCCCCGAAACGTCATTAATAATCAAAAAAGGTTTGCTCTTTCTTCAAAAAGTGTTCTATTTGAGAAACCTTGCCCTGACCCAATATTTTAGCTGCTGGGAAGCTTGTTCGCGAGTTCAGCATGCGTATTATTTCTCCCTCCTCCGTGTTACGACAGCGCCATCTAGTCACTTTAGGTGAATCTTGATAGCTTGCAAGCTTGTGTTAAGGTTTCGCCACTTAGAAACTAGATGGCGTTGCCGAAAAAGCTTAAATGTGTATGTTGCTGTCTATATTGCTAATCAATGCTATTGGATAAATCCTGGGTTCCGAATTTGGGGGTAATTACCCCTCCGGGGGTAAATCAGCCATACTTCGGGGGTAACTAAGAACCTAATTATTTGCTCAAATCTAAATAATACTACTAAATAGAGCATGCGGTCCTTCTTGCTAGTGAGCCCACGGGGTGCTGAGTGTGGGAAGCGGGGCGAGATTATCTCCTGATGATGACATTAGTAGAGACGAAGATGTAGCGGCCAAATTGGAATTTCTTGGACTGATGATAACATTTTAAAGTCAGGTTAAATCTGTTTTCCTAATAGGTTACAGGGGTAGCAGTATTGGAAAGGTTAGGAAATACTGGGATAAATGAATACTTAAATTAATTAAGGAAACTATAGGTCTTTTAATTAATTATGTCTCTGTAGCAATTATAAACATGTGCAACTGTTTGTTTCTTATTATTAAAAAAAAGAAAATAATATCATGTTAATATGGAGAAAAATTTAGGGTATAAAGACACTTTTTATTAGATTTCGAGCAGTAAACATCTCGGAAACGAATACTGTCTTTCATTTGGGCACTCATTTTACACTCCGTGCTTCGGAAGGCACGTAAGCCATTGGTCTCGGCTGCATCTGCAGTCGTTAGCACCCACCAATCCGCACTGGGTCCGCGAGGTGGGTCAATGCCCAATCTCCCTATTCCATTTATAAGCAAGGCCTGTGCCCCAGCAGTGGGGACGTTAATACGCTGGTGAAGATAATCAATAATCATAATCATTTATTCAGTTTAGGCTGTTACAAGTACTGATGAATGTCTAGAAGCTACGCCATCGGTTCTTAAATCTACGGCGGGAGACCTTGTACTGAGAAGAACTAGCAAGAAACTCAGCAAGGGTTGTTTTTTTCTTCTTGTTTTATTATTAGATGATGATTAATCCAATATTCACCCTGATGTTGTTTAAGTTCCTCCCATTCGCACGAAGCGATTTGCTTCCGCTTTCATTATGCGAACGGCTAGGGAGCCCCCCACGACAACGGCTAACTAGAGCCGAGGTCCGAGTCTCAGAGACGCCCTCTAGTTGAGTCGACCCCCTCAGATTCGGGTGGTCTAGAGGCTCCGAGACGCCATCCGCCTGGAATACCTCCAGAGGCACTCGCCAAGGCCCCTTAGGATCTCGCCCTCCCCAAACCCGGTGACGCTGAACACTCAAAAGAAAAAAAAGGCTAGGGAGGGAACTCTTTGCCGATATCTGTTTTCCTGGACCAATATAATCTGGACATCTTCAAGGCCAGAGTGAACAGGCATCTTCTAGGTAATCGTGTACCATCCTAGGCCTCATCATAGCTTTCCATCAGGCGAGATTGTGGTCAAACGCCTTGCCTATTATGCATTAAAAAAAAACTTTATTTTCTCATCAGGAAGTGGCCCGTCTTCTTCTCGAGCATGGAGCAGACCCTAACAAGCGCTACTTCTTCGGCTCTGAGATCAACCTGGTGTCCGACCCTGAGTACTTGGAGCTGCTCCTCACCTTCGGAGCCAACCCTGACTCGAGAGATAGAGCTGGTCTGACCCCGCTCATGAAGGCTGCTAGACAGAGAAAGGTGAGAACTGTATGTTTGGAAATAGTTATTGGCACAATTATGGGAGATAATATTGGTATATTATATTGATTTTAAGCAGTTAACTGCTAGATGTTTTAACTTAAAGAAAATTTTACTAGAAAAAAACCGGTTCGAGTCCCGTCAGCTGCCTGGAAAGCGTAGAATTTTTTCTAGTCAAAAACTTGTATTGCTACGAATGTTACATGTATTTTGCTACGAAATTGACTACGTACGCTACGTAATGTTTTGCTACGTACGACTTTAAAATATGTTGTTAATTACGTAAGCAGATTTATTATAATTATTTACCCCCGTATTTACCTCCTCCCCCTTGTCAGTAAAAGTAAGCAAAGCTCTTACCCCCCCCCCCCCCCTCCTATGCTTACCTACACATTGGCACCTTTATGCATTTTTCCTTTAATATATTCTGTTATTTTTTTATTGATCCATGAGCCTTCATGAGCTTTATGAGCAGCAGTACTTAAATAGGATAATAAAGTCTAGAGGACTTTAACGCACATAATATTCATTTAAACAAACTTTATTGAGACAGTATTCAACATAAAGTAAGGTACAAATATAATCTTATTATTAAGTACTATTACGATCAAAACAAACTTCTTTCGAATTTTTGGTATATGTATACCAATTAACAGTCTTCAGTTCCAGACACCCGAATCCATGATGCTGACGTGATCACTATCTCGACCCCCCCCCCCCCCCAGTTCATCAAAAATAAGCAAAGCAAAGGCCCCCCTGCCCCTCTATAGTACTTACGTAATACTTGAACGGCCCCTAATTGTATCGCATCGTCAAAGTTTCCACGAGAACAAAGCAGCGCCCCCTACCGGACGTAAAAACAAACTAGCTCCTCCCATACAAAATTTGACGGTGACGATACGATTACAATCGGAATCTTTCCAATGTTCCTATTAATATCTTTACGCAAAACAATAACTAAATGACTAGAAACGGCGAATATTTCCAACGGCACATTTAAAATATTCCAGGAGCTCAATAGCGCATTGCCTAGCGGATTCGATCGATGATTTCGCAATAGTCGGTTATTGGATGGGTGAGCAAAAATTTACTATCTGTCGCTCGCTCCATGCAACTTCAGCCGTTGGTCCCGGCTGCATCTGCAGTCAGTGGTTGCACTATGTATTACATAGCAACCCTGCTTGTTGTAACTGTGCGTCTTGGCCCATACGGCAATAAATAACAATAATAAATATCTCCAACCCACACAAATTATCCTAGCTCCAAAGTAAGCACTGAAAGGCTTGTATTATGGGATACTAGGGTAGCGGATAGAATACATACATTGATACATAATGAAGTACATTTTTATGTAGAAATTTATATATAAACATCCATGACTTAGGTACAAATGCACGTATTCATCATACTAACATTTGCCCCACCGCACCGGAATTCGAACTCGGGAGGGACCTCACGAGTAGGCGATGCCTTGAAACCCGGCGTTCATACGTCTGCTCCACGGAGATCGTCACGAGGGGAGATGTTAATAAATAAATAAATAAATAGTTATAATTTTTATTATTTTTAAAGCATGTAACCGCTTGACGTTTAAATCTTAAGAAAATATAACTAGAAAAAATTCCACGCGGACCAGTCAGCAGACTCCGGGCGAATGCACTGACCAATTATGCTATCGTGGCCCTCACGGACCGCGTCGAAGTTCTTCTAGCCATTCTTAAGCTGCAAGGCAGCGCTATCTCTTCGCATTATAGGTAACCCACAATGTCAAATGAATACTTTTACAAGTATTAAACATTTGAAAGAAGAAATAGCAATTATAGTTATAATTTTTATTATTTTTAAAGCATGTAACTGCTAGATGTTTAAATCTAAAGAAAATACAACTAGAAAGAAATCCACGCGGAAGAAGAATTTGGACGCGGTCCGTGAGGGCCGCGGTAGAATAATTTGTCAGTGCATTCGCCCGGATTACGAAGGGTGCGGGTTCGAATCCCGTCTTCTGCCTGGTCCGCGTGGAATTTTTCCTAGTTATATTTTCTTTAAATAAATATTTCTTCGCAGGGTATGGATGCCGTGCTCCTTCTGATAAGCTTCGGAGCTGATGTGAACGCGATGGCCGATGCGCGGAACGACTACAGAACTGTCATGCATTACGCTGTACTGAGCGGTGAGTATAAATTTCCGACCGTTATTGCGCAGAAGTAAAAATTAAGATGTGTTGGGGGAAAACGAGGTGCGCGGGTGCGTGCGTTGCGCCGATTGGCTCTCCAGTCGTACCCATGAGCAGCTTAGGGATGTCGAAAGTTGAAAAAAATATCGATATATCGATACATCGATATTTTAAAAAATATCAATATCGGCTTCGATATATCGAGAAAAAAACATCGATATATCGATATATCTGACCAATTTTCCCAAAAATATCGTACAGTAGCTCACGAAATATGACACGCGGAATAATAATGGAACGAAAATTATCTCCCTAAAAATAGACCCTATTTTCCAATGATGACATAGACAATACTATAGACTAGGAAATACAAAAAAAATATTTATTAGATTGATAAGAACTGCTTGATAAGTAACATTATTATGCAAATGCGTTTGTTTGTGTTAGTAACAATATTTCTTAGGTTGCTATGTTAGTATAATGCAAAATATGCAATTTGCAAGTAAATTTTTATTAAACAACAATGATATTAACTCTTAGTTGATAACTTTAACGATAAAATTTGTTTAAATAATAATATGTTATCTTTTCTTTTTGATGATTCCAGGGTAGTAAAGCTCTCCAAAAATGATAAAAGATGAGCTAAAACAGGCAACTCTCGTGGTTGTTTAAGAGAAGCTGTATATTCATTGTGTGTTTCTGAATCTAATTTTTGACTCAATAAGTATACTAATAATGGGTCCCAAGTGCTGATATCTATACCCATATTTTTGATAGCATTCAAGCATTCCATAGTTGTGTCATGGATGCGTTTTATAAGGTTAACTGTCGGCTGAGACATTGTAGGCAAATTCATTAGAATACTGACATGCGAATTGAAAATTAGTTTCTGATTGTTAAAACGCTGGTTGAGTATATCCCAGCATACATTATAATTATCCGAACTGATATGCAAGTGCTGGATTAAGCGTTCGGCCTCTCCTCTTAATTTAGTTTTCAAAAACTGCATCTTCTGGGCGTTAGAAAGTGAGCGATTGCTATGAATTATTTCTACAAAAAGATCTTTAAACGATACCCATTGGTGGTAATTTCCACTAAAAACAGGGATGTCGATGAGCGGAGTTGACTGCTCCCTGTGTTTTTCAGACCATAATTTAGAATTGATTTGCTTTTTTATATTATTATAAGTTGATTCATGGAAGAAAAATGTTTGATCATAAATTTTATTTTTTCCATCGAGTTCACTATCTAATTCCCAGTGTAGTGCATCAATAACTGACCACCGTGACTCTAAGGTTTTCAATGCATCTTGAAACTCCCATTTTTCTGATAATAATTCAACGTTCAAATTGGAAGTAGTACGAGAGAAAGCTTTAAAATTGCTATTTTGCTTCTTTAACATTTCATCAAGTTTGCTGTTAGTACCATGCGATATAGATTTCGGAATATTATACGAGATATCACGAGACTCTGTTGTCACAGGATAGTTAAGTTGCTCCATGGAAACCGACGGCGACTGCGTCGGGGTGCCCAACCGGGGGGGGGTGCGTAGCCGGTTTAAATAAGGCTCTCGGGTGTTTCAAAATAAAATCACGAGTTGATGTAAAGAAATCATATGTTCTTTGATAATGATTACCCGTAAAATAATCATGAGATTCGTCACCTATGTTACTCAATTTTAAATGATTACTCTGGAATTCTTTCCAATATTCATCTAACAAATTAACTTTTTTATTGATATATTCAGTCGTCTTGCGATGTGAACCATCCTTTTTAAAATTGCTGAGAAGCGATTCCATCGCTCCGAAAATCTGGCTCTGTGTTGCCAATAAGTCTTCCATTTTTACTGCACGATTGTTACGTAAGCGATAATATGGAAAGATCTTACTTGATAACTCTGCTATATTTCGTGGAGGTTGTGTCTCCCAGCTGCCTCTGCTGATGCTTCTGCTTCTGTTGTGATCCTTTTGATATACATTGACTCCAAAGTCCGCTGTGTTGGAATCACTTACACGAACACTGTTCACAGTCCTCGCGCACCTGATCCCACCTTTCCGAAGGTTCGAAGGACCATAAAGATGTCTGGGACACCTTTAGTTGTTTGATAAGATTATGATAGGTTCCGAAAAACTGTCCCGAAAATGTTGTTATGTTAAATGATAAACGATGTTGTTTGTATGAGTAATTTATTGCTACTGTTCAATTCACTTAATAAAAGGCGTAACGAGTCGCGCGCAGCGCCGACGTTAGCATAATACTTAAACATATAGAATTGTACGGGTTTGCCCGTACATCGATATATTTTCAAAAAGCCTAGAGCAGCTATCCCTGACGCGGTTTGTTCAGCACTACAGTTACTTGCCGCGACCCGTGCACTCGACGAAGTTCGCCCGATATTTTTACAAAGGAGATTGCTCAGCTTCCGTCCATGTTTGGCCTAATAACCAATAATTATGAAAAATTGTTTCCTAGATTCGAAATTATATATAAATTACTGTAGAAATGAATATTATTAACGGACACCCCTGAGAACTTCTATTAACCATATACACTGAATGATTTTGAGGTTATGATTGCAAAAAGTTATCATAATTTTATAAAAACCAATATGATGTTTTCTTAGTATAACTAGGTATATAATGCTAAAAGGTAATTCTAATGTAATAACATATGCGTAGGGTCATGATAGTTCTGATCAGTGTGAAATATATTCCTGATATAGGTAGCTTCAATATTCTGATAAGGTAGATTAATGAAATAAAACAACTTAAGTACCTACTTTTATTTTGAGTTTAATATTACATATCATCAAGATATTTTAGATTTTTACTGTATCACACCTTATAATGTGTTTATGGAAGTGTTGGCGGAAAATGTATGGCAAAAGACTTTATAATGTCGCCTACCATCTATAATAATTGTCTTAGCACATTTGGATGTAGTGAAAATGATAATATAATACTTTTTACCACTTTGAAAATAAATTATTTTCTAACACAAAACATTGACTTACAAAGTCAGTTTAAAAATCACATAATATAGTAAAAAGACCTATAAAATTATGTCTATTTAATTTAGAAAATCAAGTGGCTTAGCAAATAATGCTAAAATACTTAAAGAAGTACAGTAATAAAAAAAATAAAAAAGATCTAAAGAAACAACTATCAGATTCATTCATTTTTTGTCATAGGTTGGGCAATCAATAATTAATTATCTCAATCACCTCCGTGCTTCGGAAAAAACGTTAAGCTGTTGGTCCTGTATGCTTCTGCAGTCTTACCACCCACGTACGTAGTCGTACGTAGCACCCACCAATCTGCCCCATGACAACGGCTAACTAGAGCCGAGGTCCAAGTCTCAGAGACGCCCTCTAGTTGAGCCGAGAGGAGACTCCCCCCGTGAGGAGATGCCATCCGCCTGGAATAACTCTAGAAGCACTCGCCAATTCTCGGCTTGAGGCTTCCTTAGGACCTCGCCGTCCCCAAACCCAAAGATGCTGTGAAGGTCGTTTGCGACCAACAGCATACACGCTTAAAATAAAACCCACCAATCTGGTTGATCATGGACCGTTCTCCCTATCCATCCACATGGTAGACCTGCCCCACCAATGTCGCCATAAATACGATAATCATGGTGATCTCTTCTTTTTACATTATGTGATGGAAGTTGACCTCAACACATGTTTGCAAGTTTAATGTCAACTTTCAATTAGACGACACTGTATGAAATAAAACAGGGAGAAAAAAGCAGCCCTTGCTGAGTTTCTTGCCGGTTCTTCTCAGTACAAGGTCTCCCGCCGTAGATTTGCGAACCGATGGCGTAGCTTTTCGACATTCACAAGTGCTTGTAACAGCCTAGACTGAATAAACGATATTGAATTTTGTTTTTTTTTTCATCAGGTAACACGGAAGTCGTAACGTTGATGATCAAGCAAGGTGCCAGGGTGAACTACCAGTGTCCTGAACTGAACAAGCCCAGTCCTCTAGACCTGGCCATCCTAAAGGGGGATGTGGCGATAGTTCAACTGCTATTAGATGCAGGTAAGCACAAACATTTATAAACACTGTTGCTGCAACCAGCCACAGATTGGCCAAAAATCTGTGGGAGGTCTATAAGTTTACTGTCTATATGACCTGTTTGGCATAATATATTTGGCGAATTTAATTATTTAGCCAGCCATTTGGACGCCTAGGTAGTTCATTAAGCGCTGGCCTCCTTAGATTAAAACAAAAAGGGAAGGTCAAACTGTAAACACATTTTTTTTATAAATCACGGTTTGTCGCGCGTTTTATTTACGTAATCGCCATTTTGTTATCAAGAAAAGGACAACAATACAGCTCAGCCGTGCGGACTTCGTAGCGGACTCGCCGTTTCGCTCGCGCTGCGTTGAAGCGTACAGTTCTGTCTCGCTCGCTCGATTGAATGTTTATTTACAGACGTGTGCGTGTGTGAGATTTGCTTATGTAGAACAGTTGAGTCGGATCATATTTTATTTGATGCTAGTATGAGCGTACCGTATCTTAACTTTTTGTTTTAATCTAAGCTGGCATCCCATGAAATGACATCAATCTGAATACCGACGTTGAAGGAACGACCTTGGCTGCGAATTAACTGGCTAATTTATCCAGGTGTCTACGACCTATCCAAGATATCACGCAAGACATTCTATCTCACTCGCACGTTACTTAGGATAGCATATGCGAGAGAGACAGTATGTTTTAAGTTGTCATTTGCAATATCTTTCCTTCCATAATGACACGAGTTAACCCTTACCTCTCTATGTATAGATTTTTCATTTGAAATAGAAAAGTTTAATTACTCTTTGACAAACACATATTTATTTATGGTGTTGAAATCAAGATGACTCATTCAGCTGTTTATTTATTTATTTTTTGGAAGACCAACAGCTATTAATAAAAACTAGCATACCAGTGAACCAAATGTTCACCAAAACCTGATTTCTCGAAAACCGGAAGTGCTACGTCACTCAAATCCGGTTTGTAATCTTATCAGACTATTCTTAACTTATAACTTAAATATTCTGTTTATCTATCTCTTACGGTTTGGCCGCTGAAACAGCACCACAGACGGACGGACTTGTCTAATAGATAAGAGATAATAAAAACTTAAATAACAACAGAAATCCAATTACAGGTATTCACCAATAAAAACACTACAACATAATTAAGCACACTTTTATCATAACAATTACAACAAAAAAGCATTGTAGATCTATTCGTCGAAAAATGCGCTGCTCAATACCCGCCTCAGTGATGGAAACCTAGTGTAAAACAAATCAATTCCAGTTTTCTCTGTGATAATGTATTAACTGTCATCGAGGAGCTCGATGGCGCAAGTGGTTAGCGCGTTCGGCTACGATCGTTGAAGTTAAGCAACTTTCGCAGAGGTCGGTCACCAAAAATCTTCTATCTCGAGTTCCTTCGTGCTTCGGTCCCGGCTGCATCTGCAGTCGTTAGCACACGCCAATCCGCACTAAGCCCGCGTGGTGGGTCATGGCCCAATCTCCCCATTCCATCCATAGGCAAGGCCTGTGCCCCAACAGTGGGGACATTAATAGGATGATGATGAATGAATTTATTGTACATATGTAGTACTATGTGTCTTGAAAGAATCTTAAAGTGCCCATATGCCCCATAAATGGCTTTGATTATTGTGTAGCTAGTATTTCTATTAAAACAATATAACTTTATATTTCAGGTGCAGAAGTGAACGCCTCCAGTTCAGTGATCGGGTCTCCGCTACACGTCGCTTGCTCCGACAATATCACCAATAGGAAAGAAATTGTTAAAGTGAGTCAAATTCTAATAATGCATTACTATATATAAGTAAAATATAAATACTAGAACAATAAAACTAAAAACCTTAAAACATAAAATTAATAACTAAAATATATTATTAAAAGGAGTCCCTTTAGGCAAGGAACCGAAGATACTGGCAGCGTTACCTCTTTGAATGGCTAGACTAATTCTTTGTCCGAGGTAGCTGCCAGCTCTTCGGTCTCCTGTGTCGTCGACTAACCTTTTTGCTATTTCCTTAGATAGCCTTAAAGCGCTAGGACCCCACGGACCAAGGGTCTCGACACCGAATGGGACAAAATCATATTCGGAGCCTAGACCCCTGTATTTGCTTGCTTTTGATTATGTAATTAGATAGAGACTTATTTGTTTATAGTTAGTGTATTTTATAGGTTTACCATATTTTAGATTTTTAGTGTATCACACCTTATAATGTGTATAATGCATTTATTCAAATTAAGGATTTTATATGCACTTAATTAAAGTTCGAAATTTACGCCATCGGTTCATAAATCTGCGACAGGAGACCCTGTACTGAGAAGAACCGACAAAAAACTCAGTTTATAAGAAAATAATAAATTTTCTTCAATTGAATCATGATTTCTTCTTGGTCTGCCTAGTACTTACATTGAGATTTAGGAAAACAAGATATATCCCATTGGAAAATGACAAAATCAATTTACTTCGCAATCCGGGCGAATGCACTGACCAATTATGCTACCACAGCCCTCACGGACCGCGTCGAAATTCTTCTAGCCATTCTTAAGCTGCAAGTCAGCGCCATCTCTTCGCATTATAGGTAACCCACAATGTCAAATGAATACTTTTACAAGTATTGAATATTTGAAAGAAGAATTAGCAATTATAGTTATAATTTTTATTTTTAAAGCATGTAACTGCTTGATGTTTAAATCTAAATTCTAAATCTTCTTTCAAATGTTTAATACTTGTAAAAGTATTCATTTGACATTATGGGTTACCTATAATGCGAAGAGATGCCGCTGCCTTGCAGCTTAAGTATGGCTAGAAGAATTTCGACGCGGTCGGTGAGGGCTGTGGTAGCATAATTGGTCAGTGCATTCGCTCGGATTGCGAAGGGTGCAGGTTCGAGTCCCGTCTGCTGCCTGGCCCACGTGGATTTTTTTCTAGTTATATTTTCTTTAGATTTAAACATCAAGCAGTTACATGCTTTAAAAATAAAAATTATAATCAATTTACTGTTTTATATGGATTAAAACTAATTTTAGTTAAATAGACATTTAGCAAATCTGCTGTAATGGTACTTAAAACTGATACATTAGATTTGAACCGGTGGCGTAGTGACATTCATAAGTGCTTTTGTGAGCCTGAACTGAAATAAAACAATGTTGTACAGTGGAGCCCCGGTACTCCGGTCCCTGGCTAATGCGGCACCCCCTATAATCCGACATCGTCTATTACATACAAGTATTCGCTAATTCACGATCATGGACGTATAAAAAAAGGCGGACAGAGTTTCGGCTAAGACAATACTGAGGCACCGTAATGGCGGCGGCTATTGATGAGTGAGTGAATTGTAGGGTTGCTAGGTTAGTCAATTTTTTACCAATAAAAAACAGTAAAAACATGAAAATATTTTGATTGTTCAAAATTTTACTTTTTGCCCGACTGCGGAGGATAATGTTTTTCGAGCGTATGTATGCATGTATGTATGTATGTCCAATAATTTGGCACGCCCTACAGCCTGAACGTCTTGACGGATTTTGACCTGCGAGGTGTCATTTGATTTGTCGTGATTGTGTGAGTGGCATTCGGTATACTAAAATTTCAAAAAATCAAAATAACAGATTTTATGCACCAAAATGAAACATTTTGAAAAAAAAGTATAAGTATTTTTATAACTCGTCAAGCGAGGTATCAAAGTGAAGGATTTTAAAAGAATATTTAGAAAATATATAACTCGTGTAATTAAAAAATAATGAAATTAAAATGTCGAAAATAAAAAAAAATGTACTAAAAAGAAAAAAACAAGTCCAGTAGTCTAGAATTCTGTTTAATAAGGAATAAAGTTACTTTAACAGTCGGGACTCATTAGAAATTCTAGAATGTATCGAATTTTCTCAATATTGGGTAAATCAACTAAATATAGATGGCCTAGTCTGCATTCTCTTTCATATTTCTTAAAATAAACTAACACCCATTGAGTACTGTTTGTAATTGAGGAGTTCCATTGTTTTCCTCCGAAAGTACTCATCAGATCTCCAGTAAATTAATATGCAGCCATCTCGTTAGTAAACTGATTAAAACAAAAAAAGAATCATCATAAACGGTTCACGAATCTCGGAGATCTGCGCGAACAACAATAAAAAAAAACAAACATGACGGACAGCGAACCTCTTTCTTTTTGAAGTCGGTTAAAAAATTTAATCAACCTTTTGAGGTAATGCATACGTAATAACACGCCGGAGTCCTCCTTTAGTTGTACATAAGTCTTGAGCTTCAAAATGAAGACCAAAAATGACACTACTACATATTTGTTTGGAAATAATTCATTTTCCAGTAATTTCTCCATACTACATTTTCTTTAGGAAATCTGATAAAAAAGAATAATAAATAATAGATTGAAGTTAATGTCAACCCAATTTCCCATATTTTAGGTAATATGGTTACATGAACATTGGCAACACTGGGCTTTAGACTAATCATTTTGTCCTTAGAATTAAAATTGATTTCGATTTCTAAAAACTAGAAAAAAGTGATTCAATTATTCATTTACGTATGAAACGTGATTCCTGGATTTTTTTTCTTTCGGTCACTACGGTTTTTACACCTTTTTACAAGCAAGATATCTTGTTTAGCTTATTTTTTATCTCCACGAAACATGTCGGCTGCTTTGACGTCTGCACGCGTAGTGGCTGACTATTGTGTGAATGTGTGCGTGCCGGCTTGTACGTACAGCGACCTGGCCGACTCTGAGCGACACAGTTTATTGTTTACCGGGACCAGTGCTGCCAACCCGAATTTTAGAAAATTAGTAGATTATGTGCCAAATGTTGGTAGAAGTTGGTAGAATGTAAAATGCAAAATTGGTAGATCTACCACCTCAATTTAGAAGTTTTTTTTTTTAGATTTAAATTGCATGCAATGCAATGCAGAGCACACTTCAGATCACACCTACAGGATTTGCAATAAAAATATCCGTCACCCTTAGTAATTTCTTGAAGCCAACCTGCAAATTCCTTGTCTTTCTTCCATAATTTCGAATATTTTTGGCCATAGTGCCTTTTTCTAGGTTTTCGTGGCGGAGTTCCTAACCTAGAACTATGTGCATCGCTTTCGCTGCTGTCAGAATCAATTATATAAATAAATGCACGCAACATAGAACAAACAGCAATCAGCACCGTTAATACGCAGTTAATTAGTTTTTACAAGATAACAGGAGCAAAGATTCAACATTGATTCCGCAACAAACCAACCGGAAATAGGCCACAGTAGGAATAGTAAAATATGGGCGCGAAATTGTGCGAACGCCGAAATCATGGCGAACTGTTGCTGACGTTTTTTTTTGTGGTTTTTGGCCTGGACTCTATGTATGCTTGACGCATCGTTGCATGGCTCACGCAATACATTTCAACGTCGCTCGTCGATATAAAAATAATTCAAAGTGATGATATGTCAAACTAATTAAAAAATAGGTAGTTTTTAGGTCTAGGGTGGTAGATAGGTAGACTGAAGTGAAAATTGGTAGATCTACCAAAAAGTTGGTAGATATGGCAGCACTGACCGGGACTCTGTCCGCCTTTTTTTATAAGTCCATGTTCACGATTGAACAAGTTACAACTTGTACGCACCATCACTATTGTGCTCGACGCGTAGGGTATTGTTTTTTTTATATTTTTTTGTAAATTCTATAGCATTAATGACGTTACTTTTATAATAAAACGTAATCTTTCTATTGTGTTGTTTAATTTACTAAATTTGGCATACATAACAAAGTATGATTTGTAATCTTATCACTAGGATCTGTAATTTGTCGGATTACAAGGTACCTACTCTTTTGTAAAAAAAATCGGACTATAGGGGGTCTTAGGCAGTACTCTATAATCCGTCAAATTCGATAGTTCGACACTGCCCTGCAAAATGTTTGTCGGACTACCGGGGATCCACTGTATTTCATTTATTTCTTCTTTTTTCCTCTAGATCCTTCTTGAAGTAGGTGCGGACCCCAACCTGAAAGTATTGAACGAGGACGACGGCGCACAATTGAGGCCTGCACTCGCCGAGTACCTCGCCAGTAATACGGAGCCTAGTGCGGATATCGTACACCTCCTTCTCAAGTATGGTGCCCGGGTATGTGCACAAATCTCTTTCCAGCAAACATTATTAAAACCAATAAACATGAAGAGTTCATTAAATAAAACTAGTTTTAACGGGTTAATGCCCGAAACTTTATTTATTTATTGATTCTTCGAAATCAAATATATCAGTGGTAAACTCTTGTTTTGACTAGTTATTTCTAGTTTTAACAAAGGCATTTAGTATAAACTAGTTCTAGCTAAGGAAAACTAGTTCTAGCTAGGGATAACGCGCTCTATCTAAAAACTGGTTTTAACTGTAACATACATTTGGATACTGGACTAGACAGGGAACGCTCAGTTCATGTCTATGAAAATACCTCGCTATAACATGCAGTCTAGTGCTGATATTGTAAACCTCCTGCTCAAGTATGGTGCCCGGGTATGTACTTACTTAAGACTACTTTAATACACATACTCGAGGTACCCATAGAATATGGAGAATGGACTGAGCAACACTCAGATGAATTTGACAACTTTCTAGAAAGAAAAAGAAAAAGCTATGGTGTACAGCCAATACCTATTCGAATGATTGCCAATAGGTCACAAAATCTCTTCGTCTTTTTCACTTATCTGCCCAGTTTATTTACAGTAGGACAGGAGACGCTCAGTCCATAATTTATATCTATCAAAGGACATATCTCTGGCGATGACATAAAGGTCTCTAGGACCAAGGATTTAGCGACATATTTACCTAGGGACTTGAAATTAAAAGCAGGAGGGTTGCACCCCCTGCTCCCCATGATAAGGTCTAATGGGGCATAGGTTATGGGATGAGCTGGCTTCAAATGACATTTCTGGGTGGGATGCCTCTAGCTCGTACTTCTGTAAAAGGTACATGAGAAGAAGGGCAAAGAGTCCATACCTTTGACCTTTGGTCTTGGTCCTAAGCAGACCCGTCTTTCCCAGTGGGCACTTTGGGCAAGTGCCCAGGGCCCCGCGATCGATAGGAGGCCCCCTCAGATCAAATACAAAGTCCCTAGTTCCTGTTAAATCACCAAACGGAAGTCATAGGTGCCCCATTATCCTAATATGCCCAGGGCCTCCAATAGGTCAAAGACGGCACTGGTCCTAAGAGAATTCCATGGTTACCCTTTTTGCGTCATCTACCATTCAGTTTGCTTCTACTACTGCTGTTCAATGTCATTCTGCAATAACTTAAACCCTTCGATCCACAATTTCAGAATGATTACGAAACTTAGAGCTGTATTTTCATTACCTAGTATTCAGTCTATATAACCTCAATCACTGTTTTCCAAGCAAAGCAAAAACATTCTCTAAGTATCATTTCATTTGCAGGTCATCATGAAAACTCAGTTCAGGGACCCCGATGGCATCCTGAACCACCTCCAGAACGTGACGAGCGAAGAGTACGAGCACATCTTCTATCTCCTTCTGGAAGCGTGCGAAGCGTTCGACCTGTGTATGATAAAGAGGAATAGCACTTTGACGGCCGCACAAAAAGAAGCCTTAATGGACAGAGCTAAGACCCCTATTTCGTTGCTAGCTCAATGCAGGATATTTTTGAGGAGGTTCTTCCGAACTTCCCTTTTGGACGTGGTAAACAATTTTGAAATACCAAAAATCCTCCATAGATATTTGGAGTTTGAGTGCAAATGAGGTTTTGCTAGAATTCTCATTTTGGTATTTTCATTGGCGTTGAGATGGGGGGTAGGTTCAAATTCTTTGGTATAAAAATGTACCTTCCTACTTTTTTTACTATATGAATGCGATTTTTGTACGAGCAAGCGTGTAAAGGCCTAGCCGAAGTTGTTGACTTGTTCTCTTATTGTTCTGTGCTTGTTACTAATGTGTTGACTACGAGTCAAGGGCAAGAAATAAGTGCTGTAATGTGGTATAGTTGAGTTGTGACTATGAGAGTGATGTTTACGATGTTTACATTAAACTTAAACATTCATTATTCTCATAGTGCACCTGATGTATTGTTAGTGTGCCAAAAGGCGTGTATGTACTTGTGTATGTGTACGTATTGTTCTATGTATTTTTATGCAGTCTCTGTGTTTTATACCTAGTGTTTCTTTTATCTATCTAAACGTAAGGCAAACATTTACAAAGATGTTGATGAATAGAGAAAAAGCTGTTTTGTAGAAAACTCGAATTTGAAATACTTATAAATACCTAAATAAATCTTGATAAGGTATTTTGTAAAACACATTCAAGTATTTGTGTTTATTTTTACATTACATTAATTTAACTATTATATTGCAAAGCAAATATTATTATATTTATTTTGTGCCCTTATAAATGGGCGGAACCTTCTATTTTGAGAACCAGTGGTTCAAAATAAATAATAATAGTACATTACCCACGAGGCCACGAGTATCGTATACTATTTTATAACAAGTGTGACATAAACCCGCCCCGGACGCGGGCAAGGGGGGGGGTTAAGGGGGGGGGGGGTTGGGGGGGCGGAGGTTACGCGTATCGTAATGTACTAATTCTACATGAGTGAAGTTGGTCAATTCATTTACACACCGTGCAGAAATAGGCAACTTAGGTCACGGAAAAGCGTGCGTAAAGTGCGGGTTTAGGTCACACTGTGCTATAAATAATTTTAAATCTCCCTTTTTTGTTCTTAATAAAGTTTATTTTATGTTTTTTTCGAACTTCACAGATTATTTCAAGTTAATTATTAGAAAAATATTGGAAATTAGGCTTTATAGCTAAGTACCTACTACCTAGCTACTTTCAAAATCCAAAGATGGTGTTTAACATTCATTTACCTAATATAACGATATCTACCTATTGAAATGAATTGAATATTATATTAATGGTTAAAAAATATTCGTTAAAAATCATGGCGTTCTTGAATATTACTTACAATATTTATTTAGTAAGTAATAACTATATTAAATATAATAGATATAAGTTTTACAGTAAAATCATAAATGTATTGCAATGCAGGTATGCCATTAAAGAATGTACCCATTCATTCTAAATAACGTGGAGGTTAGACAAAAGGAGAACGATCGCTACGTACTAAAGCATTAGCCCGCCTGTCCCTAAAAAAATTTAGTTCATTTTTCAGCCACCAGCCGCGCTGCCGTCGGTAAGTAGTATCTGTGAAGTTAGCTGTTTATGAGTACAAGTAGATGAAGTTAATGAGGGCTATCGCGTATGAATCCGTCGCTAGAGGCGCTAGTGTAGCGTGAGGTCTCCGAAATATCAAATGTTATTGCTTGTTGGTTGACTACGCGGGTTTATTTCTAATTAAAATAATGTTGTGAATAATTGGTAACAATTCGGCTTAATTATGGCAAATATGAGTTATGTGGTAATGAATGTCAGTTATTAAAAATTTGAGCTTAGAAAAATGATTATGTTCCCATTTTTTCCGAATAAAACGGAACTGCGCGTCACTGTGGCATGGCCTATTATGTTTAGGATATGGTTCTTTTGTGTTAAAATACGATCTAAATGTAACCTTTGATTTCATGTGCGTATTAATAAACTTTAAAAGTTACAATTTAGGACCTCACTCAACAGTGGCGCCATCTGGTGAGGCAGAAAACGGTAGCCCTCATTGAATATTGTACAAATAATCTTCGCGGCATTGGTCATTTCAAATTCGCCCTCTTTTATTGAGACAACTTAGCGATCGCAGCGCCTCACTTATTTTGTCCGTATTTCTCGGACACTATTTACTATATGCGATCGTTTTCGTTCTCTCTAACCTCCATGCTAAATAATTTGGTATATCCCATAGATAGTCTGACTATGTGATAAATTGTGATATTATTGTAATATTAAGTTGCTTACAATGTTGTTCAACTTTGCTTGAACATTATGTACCAGTGTAATAATCGTGTATTTTCTACGATCAAATAAATGTGTGATTTATAATATAAAGATTTTTTATTTATTTATTATCTTTATCGCCATCAGAGGCGCCTTTAGCCATTGTAGCGCTAATGTTTGCAAACAACTATCATGGTGCAATAATTAACCTGGCGCCTTATATTAAAATAAAAAGGTTTTGTTTTAAGCCTGGCGCCCTCTAGGTAGTAAGCGCGTGATTAAAATTACATAAATAATCGAAGTATTTGGTTTGACCTCTGTGGCTGAGTGGTATATATGCAAGGCCGCGTTTCAAGGTGTCGACTACTCGAGAGGTCCCGGGTTCGAATCCCGGTGGGGGCAGATGTTTGTGTGATGAATACGCATTTGCACTCCAGTCATGGATGCTTAATATGTATTTCTATATAAATATATGTATCAGTATGTATATGTATTCTATCCGTTACGCTAGTATCTCATAACACAAGCCTACAGTGCTTACTTTGGAGCTAGGCTAATTGGTGTGAGTGTTGGAAATATTATTAATTAATACTTATTTAAAAAAAAATATCGAGATTGAGAATTTTCGGATGTAAAGCTTGGGCAACAGTTAAACCTAAGGAAGATAAATTAAGTAAACGAGCTATATGTACAAGGATGGTTGGTTATAGTAGAGTTGGCTATAGATTATGGGATCCAGAAAGCAATAATATAATTATTTCTAAAGATGTGATATTTAATGAAAATGATTACAGATATAATGAAAACACGACAGAAAAAGGTGAAAGAAAACACGAACTGGTACAGAAGGAAGAAAATGATGTAGATAAAGAATCAGCTGAAAATGAGAATGATCATGAAATGCGAGATGACGAAACAAGAAATGCTACTGAAGAAGTACAAGAAATAAGAAATGAAGAAAATGAAGTAAACAGAGAGGTAAATTGTACACGATCAGGAAGAATAGTTAAACCTCCAAATCGTTTTGAAACAAACGTTGTATATTGCACGTTAGCTCAAAAAGGCTCTGCTTTATTGTTAGATGCCCCAAATAGTTATGAAGATGCTGTCAAAAGTGAAGATTGGAAGAAAGCAGTAAATAAAGAGTTGAATGCTTTAGAAAAACTAGAAACATGGGAAGAAACAAATTTACCTGAGGAAAAACAGGCAATAGATAAGAAATGGATTTTCAAAATTAAAGATGAGGGAACGAAGAAGGCGAGATTGGTTGTAAGAGGTTTTCAACAAAAGAAAGAAGATTATTTTGATACAATTTATTCGCCAGTAGCAAGACAATCAACTGTAAAAATGTTTTTATCAAAGGCTGTAAGAGAAGATAAAAGAATACGTCAGCTAGATATACCAACAGCATTCCTCAATGGAAAAGTAAAATCAGAAGTATATATTAAAGTACCTAAAGGATTGAAAACAAAAGAAAATAAAGTTTTAAGACTGAAGCGTTCATTATACGGTCTTAATGAATCGCCGCTATGTTGGAATGAGAGGATAGATACTTTTATGAAAGAAAATGGATTTTATAGGTCAGGTCATGACTCTTGTCTATATTTTAATGATAATTGCTGGGTGATTATATATGTTGATGACATTTTAACGATGGGAAATAATAAATTTATATTAGAAAAGCTAGTGGAAGAATTTAAAGCTAAAGATATGGGTGAGCTAAGTATATATTTAGGTATGGAAGTAACAAGAGACAATGATAAAATGATTATAAAGCAGACGAGAATGATAGACAAGATTTTAGCTAAATTTGATATGGCAGAATTTAAAGGAGTCAAAACACCTACAGTCCAGTCGGAATAGCCATAATTTGGACCGACTTCTATTCTAAGACACCAGCGCTTAGCCAATTTTTTCCTAGGTAGTATAGACCCCCACGAATATGACCTCCATTTGTCCCCGCTAGAACCCGTGTTTTGTAGCCAGGAAAATTGTTTAAACAAAGAAAAACCGGTTTTTTTGAGTTTTTTTGCTTGTAAACGGGGATTTTGAAATTTTTTTTGAATCAAAGTTGTTCATTAGCTTGCCCTCTACAAAATCAGTTCTATGAAAAAATAACGTGAGATTGTTAGTTTAGCAGTAAATTGCAATTATGTCGGTTTTACGTTTGCAACAATTCAACATGTTATAATAAACATTTTGATTTCTAAAGTAGTTTATCATGTGGGTAACGCCACTCCCAAGAGAGTCATGTAAAATTTATCGACCTGTGTCGCAAACTTTAGCAACAATTCTCAATCTCCGAAAAAAAAGTACTTGCCTGTCCCGTCTTTCCCAGAAGGCGCACAGCGGGGGAAAAAAATCAGGTGATTCGATTCACCAAGAATTTTGAGGAATCGATCGAGTAGAAAAAAATCGTTAGTAAAAATGTTCGTTTTTGGACGATTTAAATTTTTTTTAAAAATTGAGGTACAATATTTTTTTTTTTAAACTAATGTATTTTTCTCTCCTCAACTCGAATATACTATTCTGAATATATATATATATATATATCTATATATATATATATATATAATATATATATAATACTAATATACCCTGAGAATTCCGATTATGAACCGGAAGAAAAAAGGACGAAATTAATTTAATTAGAAATATAGAATACAACGCAGTCTTGTAATCGAATTTTAGTTAATAGTTTTGTAAATAATTTCTGTACATAAATAAACTGATTTTTTTAAATTTTCAATCGTATATTCGAGTTGAGGAGAGAAAAATACATTAGTTTAAAAAAAAAATATTCTACGTCAATTTTTAAAAAAAAATTAAATCGTCCAAAAACGAACATTTTTACTAACGAT